TCAGCCTCTCTCTTCTTTCCTGTGTGCATAAGAACCTGATAGATGTGCTTTTACTAACACATGACTTGTGGTTGCTAGGTGTTGAGTATAAGTTTCACCTGTGAAGCTTCAGAGACACAGAAATTTTAGATTAAACCTTGAATAAAGCTTAGCCTTGTCTTACTGCTAGGGAGGGTTGCCTAGGTGATTAGGTAAATAACACAGGTCCTTGGAGTCTTCTTCCTGAGTGCAATTCCTCTGAGCCATTTGTTTGCTTCTAGAGGTGATCTCCTTTGCAGGATAGAAAGTGCTGCCCTTTGATCTATCTGCCACAATCTCTCTCAAAGAATTAGAAAACAGTGGTTTAGATCTCTTGATTATTTGTTTTGGTAATGCTTCCTTCTTTATACATGATCCTTATAGCTGAAATCAGTTGTAACTTGTGCTTTTAGAAACACCTATAGGAGTAAGCTCATGAGTTTCCTGGGAAGATAAGATCACACTGGTAAATGCGTGGATAGTCCAGTTCAATTTATCTTCTTGGTCTCTATCCAGATGGCAGCCACCTGCCCTGGAGTAGAATCTACTCAAGGGATCCCTTGAGGATAAGAAATAAATTAGAATTTAAAGGGACACCAGTTCTTTCTTTTTGCATTTCATCATGGGAGACTCAGGATCAAAACCTCTTACTCCTTTGGAACACATTCTTAAACACTGTCAAAGGTTTGACCCTCACATACTGAGGAGAAGCAGCTTAATCATGGCCTTCCTATCCTCTAGAGCCAAAATGGAATACAGAGGAAAGTACTGGTTATGATGCTATTTCACAATTAAAATTGTACTGTAAGAGAAAAAAATGGTGTACAGATCTTTTCTGCATTGAGAGCTAATCCTTATCTGTGTTCCAAATGTAAGTGTAAGCCACAGGAAAACCAGACACCTGCCCCTTAAGTCATTCACTACCACTGAGCCTGAGGCTATTCTTCCTCTGGAATCTGAGGAAGAGTTTTCCAAGGCAACCCTAATCAAATCCTGGCCCACTATTTGAGTCTGAGGCTTCCCTTACTCTACCCATTGCAAACTGAGGGTGGAGATTCTAGGCCAGGTGTAATTGAAGCCTCTCTGGAACTATATCCATCCTTAGCTAATTTTATTCAAGCCCCTCAAGGACAATATCCATTACAGGAAGTAAATGGCAAATATGGAAATCCTTGTGTTCATGTATCTCTTTTTCTCAGTGACCTAAAACAGGTGAAACACAACCTAGGAAAGTTTTCAGAGAACCCTACAAGTACAGTGAGGTCTTTAGAAGACTATTTAGACCTATGAACTGGATTGGAAAGATGTAATGTTAAACATTGGCTTCTAAGGAGAGACAATAGGTACAAGCCTTAATCTGTAGATACATATTTTCCAAGTGGGTTTAAGTAGAGCCTAGCCAGCACTGCTATGGAGAGAAGTTACTAGGTAACTAGATAGAAAACCCAGAGTCCCAAAGACCTCTTTGTCCTAGGGCCAAGATTTCTTCTGGACTATCATCTGTCTCTGTCTGTCCCTAGGGGTGACAGATCTCTTTTACAGGCTGGAATTTTAGAACCTTTTGATTCAGTCATTTAGTAGAAAGTAAGCCCTAAACAATATAGCTAGAACATTTTCATTTTCTCTCACTCTTTCAAGAGGCACCCCCCCCCGCCAAAAAAAAAAACCTCCAGCCATTCAGGTTCTTTGATTATTAGTTTAATTTTCTGCTTGGTAACATAGCTTTTCTATCATAGCTTTTGTCTATGGAGACAAGTTTTGCTAAGGATTAAAGATTCACTCTGAGGAAGCTCTTGATACTGTCTTTTGGCACCTGAGATGGTTAGGATTTAGTTTTTGTGCCATACTTAGAGTCACTCTTCTGTCCATTCTCCACTCCCCTGACCCTGAGAAACAACAGTTTTCAACAGTGTTTGGTTCAAGGCAATTCTCTCTTTTGTGGCTGCTGGATTTCAGGACCAAGTTTCTAGAATGGTGAGTTACCTGTCCTTGGGACTGAGCCTTCCAGAGTAAAGCTACCTTCACTTATCTCTTGGCCATATTCAAAACTGGTCTAGATTTAATCCTGAAACTCTCAAGGAATAAATGCAAAAATTTTAGTCCAAATTTATCTGCCTTTGATTCTTAGGCAGAACTGGAGATTAACTCCTCTTCCTCCTCCCCTCAAGAATGATGCTGATTGGTTTTTATAGCACAGGATAGACTGATTTTTATAACACAGATAAGTTCATTGATAGAACAAAATATTTCTAGAAAACTTTGAGTTTAGTAAGTTTTAAACAAAAATAGCTGTCTTCAGAGTACTACCTCTTATTATTTCTCTCCAGGACATCTTACCAGGCCAGCCACTATTCTCAGAGATATGCTGAGGCTCTGAAAAAGATAGTCTATAGCTAGATATGAGCCAAGGGTAACAGGCAAAATGGGAAAAACTGTCATAGGTAGATATCAACAGCAGGACAGATTAGAGCCTTAGCAGGCATTCTTTCCCCACTGTTTAGAATACTTATCTTTAAAGAGTGTCACCTATTCTATTTCTACACCAAGACCTAAGCTATGCACTCACCTCTGGAAAAAGTTAAAATTATGTTTTGACAGTCTGCTCCTCTACAGAAAACAACAGTTGTGGCTCTCAGCTGTGATTATCCAACATCTATGGCTATCAAAGCAACAAGGAGCTTATATATTCCAATTAGATAAAACAAACTAGGGCCAATCTTTAAAACTGTCTTTGCTTTCACAGGTGTAGGTTTTTATTCCTTCACACAGTTTTTCTAACAGGCTAAAATCTTTTCAAATGTTTACGTGCATTTCCTACTCCTTAAATTGATTTTTGGCATCTCTTAATCATATCTTTGTTGACAATTTTTCCTGTTAACCTATGAGTGCTTTCTGTATTAAAAATGTCATATTTTTTTCTAACGTGAAAGTTGTCTTTTTCTATATAAATTTTATGTCAAAGACTACCTTTTGTGATTTAGTTTCTTGACTGAGATGATGTCCTTTATGTTTTCAAAAACATTAATATTTCTTCTTTGTCAGGATTTAAAAATTCCATAATTTATTTTTACATAAAATGTGATGAAAGGGCCAGTTTTCTTACATAATTATAGCCAATTAAACATTTCAATTATTATATTTAATAATTTTAAATCACTAAATTTATTTCTGCATTTGCTGGAATACACTTGCTATACTGCTTGTTATTGTGGCAGAGTGCATGCTTTGCACACGGAAAGTCCTGCATTCAATTCCAAGCACTGCCCTCCCAAAGTATTCAATCTAATTGTAATACTGTACTGCTTTAATATCTATACTTTTAATTACATTAATAATAGCATAGTTCAAGTACTACCCTCACACTTCATCAAAAATGGCTTCGTCTTTTTTCAGAAATATTGCTCCATATGAGCTTCAAAATCATTTGTTAATTTCAAAAAAATGGAATGGGTGCTTTAAAAATATTAATTTTTACCATTCTAGAAGATGGACCTTCTATTTAAGCCAGATTTTAGGTCCTTCCATAAGATACTGAATTTCTCTTCAGTTAGGTCCTATAACTTTCTTGAAATATTTATTCTTACACATTTTGTACAATTTTTTTTGCTTTCACAAATTGCACTGTCCTTCACTTATAATAGATTATGGTCAGTAAAGAAAAATACATTTTAGCCGGGGATTTAGCTCAGTGGTTTCACCGCCTGCTGGGCAAGCGCAAGGACCCGAGTTCAGTCCCCAGTACCAAAAAAACAACAACAACAACAACAAAATTTTAATTAAACATTTAATTTTAGAATTGTTTTAATTTATAGAAAAAGCACAATGATAGTAGAGTTCTCATATACTCCACAATCTTTACCTTTATTATTACTTAGTATTTACATTAATTAATAATGCACCTTTGTCATAATCCATTTATGCCAAAGATTGCAATTTTTTGAATTTCTGCATTAAATTCATGTATGTTACCTAGAAAAATTCAAGGAACAAGAATTTGAAGAGAAAAAATTTATTATGTTCTGTTGTTATGGGTGTTCCAAAAATGGAATGCTACACATAAGATTAATACACTATACATTTTTATGGGTCTTACCTTTTCTTTTCCCACTACATGTGTATTCAAGGAAGATATCTTTTCTTAGAGGATATTCCATCTTTTCCACCCATACTGGGAATTGAATCTAGAGCCTTGTGCATACCTGGCAAGTGCTTTGTCATTGAACTACATCCTCAGCCCCTATATCTTTTCCAGACAGACTTTTCAAGACCAAGCACATGGGAAGTTGCCCTCCCTTCATATGTACAAAATGGGTAGTCAGAGCCTAGGGTTCTGATGAAACATGTTGATGTGGCCTTCAGTTCCCTAATCAATACAATCAGTTTGGGGGAAGCTGGCCATTTCCAAATCTTGCTTGGAAAAGCCTAATGTTCCACAGGGATGCCACAGAGGCCATGGGTCTGGATAAGGGAAAAGAAGGCAAACTCTAACACACATGTAGGTACACACATATGTACTAGCAGATTGGCTTAGACTTAATATATTGGATGCCAAATAACATTTATTTGAGGAAATGATTCTGCTCCAGTTGCTTCAAAAATATGTTTGAAAGATACTTGAACTGGATAATTGATAAGCCAATTTATGACTCATTTATATATTTTTAAAAATCTGCTATTTATATATAGGTGATTTTCAAAATAGCAAAACATATTATGATGATTGGGAGATATATGTTATGATGTTTCTCACCCTAGCGCAGCCTGACCCAAAGAATTTTTTTCAGTAGACTTGCTCCTGGCAATCTGGAAAGGTGGAATATTTCAGGTAACATTTCTGTCAATAAATAAACTGTTAGCTGCCATACTTGGCTCATTTACCCAAAACATTCAGAAATGACATTTGCAAGCATGTCAACCCAGTGTTTGGGGGATTTGTGTTCCCAATGGTATCCTATTCAAAAAGGTTTCAAATGTTCTCTTTCTTTTTTCGCCCTGAATAGCAGTAACTGTTGTGTTAGAAACCTGGAAAGGATTATGAGTTCTCACTTTTTGGCTGTACAAAGCAACACAAGCTGTTTGACTCAAGAAGTTCAACTTTAACATTGCTTAACTTCTCAAATTCGTAATTATTCTGTGCTTACAAAATTGAGCTCTTGAACATTACCCCAACTCATCCAGTGCAATCAACCTAGGTCTAGCAGTGGTAAAAGCAAATCGACATCTAACTTTTGCACTTAATAACATTCATATGTACAAATACATTTGCTCCATCAGTATGAAAATAACTTGAGTAGAACTGTCCATTCATGGGATAGTACAGAGTGATTTCTACTATTCTTGTTCAAGGTGACAGAGACAAAGATAACACAAGCCCATAGACACAATCTCTAAAGTCTAAAATTGCTTACAGTGTTAATGAATTCATTGATTTAATAAAAGGGGCTTTCCCTACTGTATACTCAGTTCTGTCTTAGTGCCTGGGACAGAGTGATAAACAGGAGCCACACCTTGCACACATAGATTACAATTTAATGAGGAAACAAGTGAAAGTATTTAAGTCTTGAATAAGCCAAAGTATTCGCTTTGAATTTAAAAAACTATATAAGAACACCCAATGAATTACTAAACATTAGGCTTTACTTGAACATCATCAGTTTTCCCATTGTCTTTTTTCTCTTCCGGAAGCAAATTCAGTGTTCCACATTGTCTTCAGATGTCCTGTTTCCTGTAGCTCCTCTGATTTGTGACAACTTCTCAGTATTTCCTTATTTTGCATAACCTTAATAAACTTGAGGAGTACTGGGCTCACAAATATCCTGTAGAATGTCTTCCATCTGGGTGTGTCTGATGTTTTCCTCATGACTATGTTGGAGTTATGGGTTTGCAGAAGCACCAGTGCTCTTTATATATCAGGATGCAAGTTAATGACAGAGTGATAAGGTGGTAACTTTCATCACAGGGTTACAACAGGCCATTACCTTTCTTAGCTGTAGAGTTATGACAGTTTTCCATACTCAATTATTTCCATACTCAATTATATTTAGTGTAGCCCATCCATAAGCAGTGCAAGTTTAAACTCTACCTCCTGGAGGTAAGAAGAACTAACATTTCTAATTATTATCTGGAATATTTATCTAAAAAAAATTTTCTTTTGTACCCCATTTATTTTACCTAAGTGAAATTTATTATTATTAATATAAATGAGTGGGAATTCATGTGTATATCTTACACTTAGTATTATAATTTACATATCCAATACTACATTTCTTATTTTGTTGCTCAAGTTATTTCAGATTTGACCATTATGACCTAGTTTATTATTTTACAAGAGGTACTTTTTGTTTGTTTGTTTGTTTTTTTGGTACCGGGGATTGAACTCGGGTCCTTGCACTTGCGCAGCAGGTGGCAAAACCACTGAGCTAAATCCTTGGCCCTTATAAGAGGTTCTATCGGGTCAATTTCTTCTAACATAATAGTTTTAAACAATAGCTCAACCACAATGATCTTTAATACCTAAACTAAGCCACTTCTCCTTTAATCATACTGGAGTTAATTAAACATTTTAACTTGTTTTGTGCATGAATTTATTGCCTCTCTTTTGAGATTGATGAAAAATGTGATCCATTGGGTCAAACCAGGTTGAATGCCCAGTGGTCAACCTGTCAGCCTTAGTCTTGGCAAGGTCATTTGGTGTACTCTAATAATCACATTTTCAACATAAAATACACAATTCTCTTTCTTGTATATGAGGAAAGCAAAATTTCAGCTGGATGTCAAATAGTAACCAGGAGGGTCATACAACTAATAGGACTCTGAGGGAATATTTATGTACTGATACTCTTCCTATTGCACATTTTAAACTTGCAAACATTTCAGATAAGCCTACATAATATCAACAGTATAGCTGATATTATTTACACCCCATTTACTGTTCTCCTCTTTAGGACTTGCATTGCTAATACCATCATTAATATTTTCCTAATCTCTCATAATACCAACTTGTCATGAAAAGGTCATCAAATTATGCTATGATTTTCTTCTTAGCCAAACCCCAAATGATCATTCACATTACCACAAACCTTGATTTTTCTAAAAATGAAGCCAAGACAGCACCCTTCCAAGACATTGGGTCTTCAAGTACAAAGACCAAATTAAACCATGTTTATATAGTTTATTTTTAAAGTAACTTATAACAATGTAAATACACATTAAAGATATTTTAAATTTAGATTAGGAAAAATATGAAGTTATTTACATGTTGGCATATGCATGTGTGTATACACACATGCACATAAAGTGCAGATAAATACAAAACACTACAATATAAACAAAAAATTCAATATAATTTACTGACAATTTTTATCATATTTATTAATTTGCCATGTTAATAGTTGCTAAGAAGCTCGTACTACTGAAATATAATATGTAAATATTCAACTTTTATATAAACTATAATACCTCATATTTTAACAGAGTGTAAATAGGACTCTGAATTAAAAACTAAGGCATCCATGGAGGGTGAGGATTTAGCTCAGTGGTTCCACCGCCTGCCTTGCAAGCACAAGGTCCCGAGTTCAATCCCCTGTACCAAACAAACAAACAAACAAACAAAAAACTAAGGCATCTTCCCTGCCAAGCTATTTGTAAAGATTTTGGCTCAAAGTTCACAAAAGACTCTTGAAGTTCCAGCCTTTAATAATGTGGAGACACCTTGGATTTTAAGTATAAATCATGTACAGGCAGTATTCTTAGATCAGTTCTAGCAGGTGTCATTCTTTGCAGAAAAGGTGGTTGAGGATACATTGGTGGGTATAAAACCTCTAATATGCTTCCACATAGAGAAGTATGCACACTTTTTATCTTAAAGATGGAAAAGCTTTAAGGCACAGTAGGGTTCCTCTCAACCCTTGAAGGATACAGACCCTGGAAACAATGATGAGAGATGGCTGATGATAAAAACAACTGGAGAGAGTGATCATCTAATTGAGGTGGTCTTGGCACCTTCAGCCTCACAAGAGCATATTGAATAGTGGAAAATTTCTATGTTGGTATAGCTGAAAATGGCCTCTATTTTGGCTCCTCAGTAAGCACATGAACTCCATATGGCAACAAGAAATATTCACCCTTGACCTTGGCCTCTCTCTAATGCATGTCAAGAGGTGAAGGGATGACCTTATAGGCTCCCTAACCCATAAAAACATTTCTCCAGACAGTATTCTAGGTCATACAGTATTCTAGGTCTAGATAAGTTTTCTGCCAATGACGTCTTGTGAGTGCTGTTAAAACTGTGAATCTGATTCAATCCCTGGTACCAAAACACAAAAAACAAAAAAAACTGCTAATCTGAGATTATTTAAAATAATGGATGTGACTGCCCTAAAATTACCTAAAATCTTATTCATAGATTAGATCATATAAAAAGTCCACATCATGCATAAGCCTCAGTTTCTTCAAAATTATTACCCATAGAACCAGCACCTGAAACAAGAAGGCAACGGTAACAATGAATGGATACAGTCAGTGTGTTCAGGAAATTGAGACTAGCTGATTAATACTTGTTATTAAGTCTGAATCAATAAGAGATAGTTTGGACATAGACTGTCCAGAAAGGCAGAACCATTTAAAATTTGTTTTGATTTTAGAAGGTAACAAAAGCAAAGGATACAAAATTACATAGAAATTTCTACCATAAGGGACTATCCTTTGCTCAAAAGGAAAATAACTTCTGGACAAGAGTCAGACTTCTGCTTTCTATCTTTACCAGGAGATAGGACTGCAGAGTGCTCTTCAGTAATGTGAGGTCATGGTAAGAAGAGCAAGTTTCACATGTACTGTAGAACCAAAGAAGAAAGTCTGCTCCTAAGTCGGTCTGCCTTTGACTTCTGTGAAAAAGTGTTAAGTCAGACTTGCGTTTTAAACACTAACTGATACACCCTCAATATAGCCTGAGCACCCTCAATCCCAAAAATCCAAAATTGAAAACTTTTTGACATGTATATGACGCCACAATTGGAAAGTTTCATACCATGTCTTCAGGCTTTGTGTATAAGGTGTATATGAAACAAATGAATTTCATATTTCATAATAGTCCCCATAATATTTGCAAATTTTGGAATTATGGCATATACATGGAGAAATGGCATATACAATAATGGGATGTCTTATGTATATGCTGTTATTCCAAAATATGAAAAAAATTCCCAAATTCAAAACTTCTAGTCTTAAATATTTCAGGAAAAGGATGTGTTACTAGTGGAAGATGTCTGGCATAAGCTTTGAGGAACATTCCAAACTAATGTTAATGTGAATGACAGCCATTTTGACATAGACACAGATCTGAAAAACGAGGCTGGGGGTGAGGTTAGTAAGGTGTCATCTTCACAGGATTGCAGCAATTATGAGACTGTTTTCACAATACAATGGATTTTTAGAAGGCATATGTAAAGCTAATTACAGAATAAGACCCAGGTATCTTTATTTTTCCTATTTTGGAACCTGGACATTTTGGTAATATGGAAAATGTAAAGTATGTTTTCTGTTTTCTCCACCATACCTCACAAAGCCAGCAAAGGAGCCATTGTTGAAAATCTGTTATATTCATATACATTACAAAGCACAGAGAACCAATGCAAGGAGCAAAACCATTCACATCAGACAAGGAAAAACGACACCTCTTCACACTTCATGGACAGTATAGGAAATAAAGATTATTTTACTTTTCAGATATTCACACATTACAAAACAGAAAAATCCTTCAGTTGAATGACTAGTTTCTATAACTAACCTTGGTGAAGTAATGACATAATAGAAAAGTCACCCGTGAAAAACATAAATGTTTTGTACTCAGGGATATTTTCACATAACACACAGATAATTAACTTAAGATCCTTAATCTCATCCTCATATTGATTATACTGTAAGCAGTGATTTAGGTGCTCACGTACATTTCAAATGTGTCAATGTGGCAATTCTAACATATCTTTACATGGTCTCTGAAAAGGGAAAGTTCCCGTTACTGCAATGCTATTAAATTTCTGAATGTGATTGTCTTCTAATGACTGACTGGCATTCCCTCCTTTGTGTAATTAATATTCTACCTGTTTTGGAGAACATGTGTTGATTATCTTGGTGCTCATAAATGTCTTGGAGTAGGAAATGTACTTGAAGGGAAAAATAGCTTTAGCCTGTCTCCAGTATTAGGCCATGACTTGCTTACACATGTAATCAATATAAAGATAAACCATCTTCACAAATCTATAAGGTTAAAACTTCTAACAAAAGTACAACATGAAGGTTAGGGATACAGATCAGTGGTACAGCACTTGCCAAACATGCAAGAGGCCCTGGGTTCAATCCTCAGACCCACAAATAAAACAAAAACTTCAAACAAAATTACAACATGAACCAGCATGTTTGTAGCTTGTATCTAGGGAGAGACAACAAGAAGTAATGCCACAAAATATGCCTCACCATTAGAAAGGAGAGGTGGACTTCATATCCATGTTCTACACAGTGAAAGAGTTACTTCCTCACTGACCATCAGTGGAATTAGCTCACAGACAGTTGAGAATCAGAGACACTCTTGTCTGTGTTAAAATCAAATGAAAGTTGAGATTTCTTTATGCAGCAAGTGAAGTAAGATTATAAATCTCTTTTTGAAATCAAGTTGCCCTTTGTAAGAAAACCAAATTTGCTTTAAGTGATTATAATCTATCAGAATTCTGGGTGACAACCAGGGTGCTTAAACTGAGGGTGGCATGTAGATGAGGGGCTGGTGATTTGGAAGGACTACTTTCTGTTCCAGCAGAGGGAAATCAGAGTGCTAGCAATGTTCTTATTACTACTGAGGCCTGCCAAGCACCCTGACCAAGAAGCTCCAACAGTACCTCACTGGAATGTATGGAGACCAACAGCAAGAAAAGAAAGTAAAAGAAACTTACCAGATTTTACCACTCATTCAGGATATTTTCAGAACCAGAATATTTTTTTAAAATTTATTTCAATTCACTGACATTCATTTCTTGTTGTGACTGTCTACTATTACTCTCTTTACTTGGTAAGTCTAATCCATTAATTTTATATTTAAAAGCATAAATGTTCTGAGGCATAGTTTTGTGTGTATATTGAACATACTATTGCTAGAAATATTAATTTAAAGTAGAAGTAGAGATCGTAGATTTTTAATATGTAAAAAGTTTTGCACAGTAAATACCTGAGTGTCTATAAAGTGGGCAAAGACTCTGAAGTAACCATTAAGACATCAAGGCCAAGTAGGGAAGGGCTGTGATAGTCAACTGGCAGTCAACCAGCTTTTTGGAATCTTGAGAAGAAAGACTCTTTACCAAATATAGATATTATAGAAATAATATATTAGAATTATTGAAATAGAAATAATAGAAAAATGCTTAACCAGTTGATGATATATATAGATATATAAATGGGTAGTAAATATCTATTTCTATGAACTATAAATTCAGTGAAATTCTGAATAAATGTCATAAACCAAATGGCTTAAAGGAAATCAGATTCTACTCCAGTTAAAGATGATGACACAATTTCAAACTTTGTGGTTCAATGTGGTTTAAGATTCCTGTACTTTTGGGTTCATTTTCTGTTTTAAATAAGCACAGACTTTAGAAGGCATAGCTTTTATCATTTTTAGAAGAATATCTCAGTAGCCAAAATTGGATACTATTAAAATATTTTGACACATCACAGTGTTTTGAGTAGAATTTAAGTTGTATGCCTTTATACTGCACTTTTATAATCTCATTAGAGTAATTATACTCTTGTGATGCCACTATCATTCTACTAGAAGATAATAGCATATGATTTGTAAGTGCTTACATTTTTTATTCCAAAGTTAAGAAAATAGTTTATAAATCCTCTAAAGTCAAGGTCAGTAAACCTTGAACCCACAGGTGAAATCTAGCCTGCCACAAAATATTTACCATTAGTCCTTGATAGGAATAGTTTGCTGATCCCTGCTCTAAACCTATGGAAGTTGTCTGGAAGTCTGGGGAGAGTGTTTACAATGGAATCAGTGTATGACTTAATTTGACTTTCTTTACAGACATCATATACAATTATTGCTTCCGAATAGTATCATCTACTTGGAAAACAAAAAAAAATAAAATTATGTTAAAGACTTATTTCCTTGAAATGTTTAGAACCAACAAAACAATCATATAAAAGCAGAATATTTAAAGAAAAAACAATAAATGAACAATTTACATTGTAGTTGTAAGTAATGATTTCAAAGTTCCTCAGAGAATGCAAGGCAGTAAGATAGATCTCAAAATCCATATAGCAGATTTCTGGTTTTCAAACCTTTGAATTATAGTATTTAGCACAGTATTTAAGATTTTGCTGTTTCTATGGAAGAGATATTATAGAGAATCACAGTACTTAATACCAAAAGAAAAAAATTAAAAAAACAGTAAAAAAAGAATGAATACAATTTAAACATGTTTTTCCTTTTTCCATTACTAGGGAACTATGTAGTCTGCTGGTGAAGAACTTGGTAGAAATTGATTGTTTTCATTTAGTGGGCTGATTGACATATCTGTGTCAGATAAAATCATTGCACTTATCATTTGTTACCATGGATACCATGAAGATACTGCCATCCGCTAAACAGTATTAGAGGAAGACAACATAATTTTCTGGAACTAGTCCTGTTTTGCCTTCATAAGTTGCCTTTAACCATCCTGGTTCCACTGATGGGTACACTGGGAAATAAAGAAATAAAAGTCAATCAACATTTGCTTCAAATAACTATATAACCTAAATAAATGGGTAAAAATTCATCTCAAATTCTATGCATACATTCACACTATCAAAACCAAAACAATATAACAGCCTCTTTCCCTTTAAAGATAAAATATTCTCTGCATTCACATAATCGATTTGTGTGTGTATGCGTGTTTATGTTGTAAGTTTGTGTGTGTTTCCCCTTCAAATAGAAATAAGCACAGAAACCAGTGCACACATACGTGCTCCTACAAGGGAAGAACCTAGGATCTAAGGAGATCTGATGTGTTCACTTATATAGGTTATGTGACACGGGGTCTGGATTAGAATCTGAGGTTCATGGTTTCTATTTTAGAACTCTTACTATCATACCATTCCTTCATTCCTCCCTGTAATACACTTATGTGAAGTACATGGATGTACTTACCATTAGAAAATACTGCCCCCTGGGGGAAGGACAGCTCATGGCTGTGCTCTGCTTTACAGGAATACATGGCTTTGGCTTGTCTAAACGATAAAGACAATTTGTAAAAATCAGAACACTCAACTTAAGTATATCTATACTCAAAGCTTTTCTTAAAGAATGCTATTGATTGTTAATAACTGGAATACAATATACATAAAGTGCACTTATAAGTTGACATCAGTGTATTTTTCACACATTGAACCAGACTAGGAAGCTGAACATTACTGGTACACAAAAAGCACTTATGTTTGTATCCAAGCAATGTTTCTAAGGGAAGCACCTAGTTTATAACCAACAGCATAGACTGGTATTAAAGATTGCTATTATTTAATTGTTAGAAAGCTGCTAAACAGGTTGTTTTAAAAGCAATATAGGAACCAAGGTTCATAATTACCCCAAAGCTTGTTTGTTTTTCCCATTTTAATTTTTATACTACCTGATATGAGATCTAAAAATTAAAAGGTCTACAAGATAGGGTACATATGTTGGTTAGTCATCAAGTAAGAAAAACAGTAGGATGAGATAAATGGCAGCCAGCCTCATATCAGGGAGACAAACAGGGACACATGGAGGCTCTGTAAGCCAGAGAGATGCCCACCTGCTAAAAAGGAAAGGCAGCATTTGGTTCCCAACAGTTGTTGCCATTTGTGAATTCATGCACAATGCAGCCAGATTGTCTGGTTTTTAAGAAAATGCCAGGATTTTTAGAGTTTTCTGTGAGACCTGATTTTAAAATATTTGAGGTAATAGTAAAAAGCTGTCATCAGAGGTTGCTAATCAAGTCACAGGCAAATTCCTTTCACTCTGCAACATTCAGTTACCCTGGTAAGACTTGCAGCTTTCCTACTCTACCCATTTATTTCTTCCACAACCAGACTCCAAGCCAAGTCATTTAGAGGCTCTCCTAACGTCCTAAAATTTCTAGACTTCCTCTTCTGTTCATTTACAATCCATTATCTACAGAGTAACCACAGAGCAGTTTTGAAAACAGTCCATCAGGTGATTTTACTTCCTGGTACCAACCCTTCAATGGTTTCCTCATCTAGTTACAAATCATATACCACCAGGTGTCTGTCTCTCCTGCTTGTTTTTATACCTGCCTCTGATCCCTTACTATTCTCCAGTCACACTGGCCCTTTTCCTCTTCCTCTCTAAGGCCAAACACACTCAGGGCAGCCCTGTCATCTCTGTAAGATGTTTTCCTCTTAATCTTTACTTAGATAAGCACTTAAATTCATCAGAAATTTCATGAGTTTTGCTAGAGGGTCAAGCCTTCCCTGGCCATGGACTCTAAAATACCTGCCCAGAGTACTATTATCTTCTCCTGGTTCAAATCTATGTGATGTTAACATTTGGTAATTTGTTGTTATTAATGATGTTTTTGTTGTTTTTTTTGTTGTTATTTTTTACTAGAATGTAGCCTCTGTCTTAGTTACTTTTCTCTCATTACTGAGAAATACCCACCAACACCCAAAGTTAGAGGGGAAAGGGGTTTATTTGGCTTACAGTTCATAGAGGTTTCAGTCAATAATCAGCTGGCTACAAGGCAGGGTGGCAGAGGTGCAACATTTCATGGCAGCAAAAGACAGCAAAAGCAGCAAAGGACCTTAACAGTGTCTTTCTGCTGCTCTTGTCCCACCTAGACAACCAGGATTAGGGTGGTGCCACACCAATCACTTATGTGCAGTGCTTTAGTAATCACATGCCCTTAATTCCAGCATCACACATTCCAGATTCAGCAACCTCTGAAAAAGCCCCATCTCATCTACATGAGGCTTTGGTTGGGGGACATCTAAACACAAGCCCGAACAACCTCCGAGGAAGAGGCCTGATGCTTAGTAGTAACTAAATATTTGGAGTAACACAGTAAATATTTGGTAAATGATTAAGTGAAAAAAGGAAAGATGCTCTGGACTCTTTTTCTGTATGACAGGCCCACTTACAGACTCAACATGCTTTGTTTGTACTCCCTAATATCCCAGTACTGCACCTGCAAAGAAGCATCAGCAATGCTTGTCATCTCCTCCAAAGATACAGTATTCCCTCATGAATTCATTTCCCTATTAGAATTAGATCTTAGGTCTTGACAATTTTAGAATGAGGGTTGGTCAATTAAATTGGGGTTTCCAAACATCTGAAGCTTACAGAAGAGAGTTCTGTCTATGTCCTAAGAGGGGAGTCTTACACTCTCAGAGAGCTTACTAAGGGAACAGGTTTAGGAACAACCAGCAGCCCAGACTGTACAGCCTCACAGTGAAGCATGCTCTAAGGCAGAAGTGAAGAAGTGGAGGTCCCCTGGGAAGAACAGCTCTTTACATTAAAGAAAGAAAAACAAATCTGCAGTGTGTGTGTCATATGAACACATATGCATGGGTGTTGAGTATACAGATAGGTGAGGGGTGGGGATAGAGGAAAAGGATGCTACCAAATTCTGAAAACCTTTAAGAATCAGACTATGGTAACCTTGAATATTAGTTTCTCATATGAACTAGCCAAGTATAACCACTTGATATGATAAGGATATAATTGAGATTCTGAGTGCCACTACTTTAATAATACATAATTATTTTTCAAAAAAATCAAGTTTTCTTATAGCAACTATGTCATATTTCTTTGAGTTATGAAGAAGCAACTTATCAAATCTACAGGGAAACAATTTCCAAAACTATAGAAATCATTGTGCTTTAATATTCTTTGCAATGATGCAATTTTTTAAAGTATACTTTGAAATTCAATCAAATTCTGATTAATATTTCAGGCATGAATGCTCTCCTTTTAGTATTTTATGGCCTGGGTGAGGTTGGGAAGAAGAAAACAGAACAAGTGTACCATTAAAAAACATTAAATGTGTCAAAAACACAAAGCATAAAATACTGTCATGACTTTTCAATTATTTGTGCAGTGACTAGACAGACTTTCCTTCTGCTGAGCTCTGTATCTACAGACTGTTAACTCAAAAGTGAGCTTTGATTATTTAATGTAGACTGTGACAGTGAAGTTTCCTCTCCAGGTGCTAATGCTTCCTCTTTTACTGTCTTGTGTATTGAAGAGGATGTGAAAATAACACTGTCACCTATTGTATCTCTCTCTTCAGAAGATTCTAATAGCCCTTTGAAAAGGATTTTGAAAAACCTGCTTTTTACTACAAGGAAGAATAAGTTCATGACATTCACAGTCCTAAAAGCCATTTCTTGCCTTATCAGTGGGAAAATGATCTGCTCACAGCCTCCTTCCTAATTCTCAATGCCTTATAATGTTGATGAGTAAATTTACAAATGTATTATAAGGTAATTGTGCACAATTTCCCAATCTCATCTTAAATATAAGAGAAATAAAAAACTCACCAAAATCAAAACAATGTTTCCTAGAGATGTTTAACAATCTCTCTCTCTTTCTGTGTATTATTGAGAGTTTCACTTCTGAAGGGAATAGTAGTGCATACTGATAGAAAGATGCCTAAGCAGTACTACATACAAAATTTTAAAAACTCATAACAATCTAAGTGTTCATCAGCAAAGTACTTAATAAATTAGAGTATACCATTCAATTAGGTATTACATGGCAACTGCAAATAATACTGTGAAAGAATGAACACCTGCCATGAAACAATGTTAGCATGAAAGGCAAAAATTGAACACATTTGTTCTTGGTACACTGTACACTGCACATGCTTAAAGTTAGTTACATGTCCTTTCTGTAAGTTTTTTTTCCCAACAAATACTAGCTTCATCAGGCTTAGATATCTGGGCAAGTGTTGGATGTCTCAATGCTAAAAAACTTCCATGTGAGAGTGCAGAGGTAAAGGTGCTATCATCTAACATAAGTAAATGATTCTTCTGATGAAAATGAAGCAAAAAAGTGAGTAAAACATTATTTTTAGGTTAAAAATGGGTAATTTATAACTTTATGGAGCATCTATTCTGTGTTGAGTACTTTGGTAGGAGCGACACAGTAACCAACACCTTCATGGATCTTTTTCTGTACGTTTATCACTGAGTAGTTCTCAAAGTATGGTCGGGGGAATCTGAGGCAGGAAGAGAGGCAGGTGGGAGCCTAAGACATCACTGTTCTGAGAACAATGGAAGGCATGAGGATTTATTTATTTTGGATTGTATCAGATATTAAAAACATCTGTAAAATGTAAAATAATGCAACTTTTAATCTTGAAAATATCATAAAAATTACAGTATTTATGTTAATATATACTGGGTTGGTTATTTTAAAGATTTTTACATTTTCCTCAGTTTAAATATTTTTAAAATGTCAGCTTAAATTTGTAAGACAGTAATCAAAGACCTCTTCTCTGAAAACTATAGCACTCTGAAAAGAGAGACTGAAGATATCAGAAAATGGAAAGACAGCCCATGCTCCTAGGTAGGAAGGATCAATATAGTGAAAATGGCCATATTTCCAAAACTGCTATATAGATTCAGTGCAATTCCAATTGAGATCCCAGCAGCATACTTCTTGGACCTTGAGAAAACAATCCAAAAATTCATTTGGAACAAGAAGAGTCCCAGAATATCAAAAGCAATTCTAGGTAACAGAGACATGGCAGGGGGTATCACAATCCCCAACCTGCAACTATGATACAAAGCTACTGTGATAAAAACTGCATGGTACTGGCAAAGAAATACACCTGAGGACCAGGGGAACAGACTAGAAGATGCAGAAACAACGCCAAACACACTCAGCCATCTCATCTTCGACAAAGGAGCCAAACACCCTCACTGGAGGAAAGACAGCCTCTTTAATCAATGGTGCTGGAAAAATTGGGCTTGAACTTGCCAAAGATTAAAACTAGACCTATACCTCTCGCCATGCACTAAACTAAAATCGAAATGGATTAAAATCTACGTATTAAAATAGAAATGCTGAACCGGCTGGAACAGAGGTTAGGTAGAACTCTTGAAGACATTGGTGGAGGAAAAGATTTTATGAATAAAACCTCAGTTGCCCGTAAACTAGCACAAACAATCAACAAGTGAGATCTCTTCTTATTAAAAAGCTTCCGCACAGCAAGAGAAACCACCAGCAGTGTGAAGAGACAACCCACAATGTGGGAAAAAATCTTCACCTGATCTTCCTCAGACAAAGGTCTACTATCTCGAATCTAGAAAGAACTTAAAAAGATCAGGACCTCCCAAATTTAAAGACCCAATCCGAAAATGGGCATCTGAAATGAACAGATACTTCTCAGACAAGGAAGTAGAAAGAGCAAATAAATACATGAAAAAATGTTCAACATCACCGGTCATTCGAGAGATGCAAATGAAAACAATACTGAGATTCCACCTCACTCCAGAAAGAATGGCTGCTATCATGAAATCAACCAATAACAAATGCTGGTGGGGCTGTGGGGAAAGAGGAACCCTGCTCCACTGCTGGTGGGAGTGTAGACTGTTGCAAGCACTGTGGAAATCAGTATGGAGATACCTCAAAGAACTAGGACTGGAAGTCCCATTTGACCCTGCTATTCCACTGCTGGGGATCTTCCCCAAAGAATTAAAAGAATCATACCACAGTGATATATGTGCACCCATGTTCATAGCAGCACAATTTGTAATAGCTAAAACTTGGAAACAGCCCAAATGCCCATCAAATGGAGACCGGATAAAGAAAATGTGGTTTTTTTAATAAAATGGAGTACTGCTCAGCCATAAAAAATGAGAAATTAGAGACATTTATAGCTAAGTGGATGCACATTGAGGCGATACTCTTAAGTGAAATAAATAGGACACACATGTATAAATACCGAATAGTTTCTCTAGTGTGAGAAACTGAAAGTGTAAATAAGGACTAAAATGTATAATAGGTACTGTGAAATAGGAAGAAAAGGGGCAAAGGGGAAGGAAGTGGGAGGGGTAGGGGAAAGGAAAGAAGGGAATGGAATTAATATGATAAAATGAAAAAATGGAAACGAAGTCTTTGTAAATAGGGAGGGATGGAGGGGTTGAAGGGAGGGCCAGGAATGGGGAAAAAAAATTTGTAAGACAGTAAATAGAAATAGATACGACCCACATAAATAAAAGCTCTTTGGGGATCCTTAATGATTTAGGTTTATGAAGTGGTTCTGAGACCAAAAAGTTTAAAAAGCATTGTCATAGATGAGATTGACCTTGTACCAAAATTTAATAGTAATTAGCTTCATGAAGGTGATGAAATTAGAAGTAGCTTTTATTGACTTCTTTAGTCTATTAGTATTCTCCATATTTTCTATAAGAAAACAAAATTAAATCACTTTTAAAAATCATGATTTATTTTGTTTTCACATGTACTATGGCGTTTTCTATATCTTATGTGTGTCTTACATGTGTTATCGTGATCTACAATGACTTACATGCTTCTTAAAATTCAAACTCACTGGACAAGACTTTGTTGAACTTCTGTTTTTCTTTATAAATGTATTCAAAATACTGGTCTTTTAGATTATGGCAACTAAAACTTTTGATGGTTTATAAGATGCCAGACACTTGAATCTCTTAACTCTCAAGTGCTTTATCTTTAGTTAGAAGATATTTGGACAGACTTCCTACATGATAGGACCTTAAGAAGGATCTTCCCTCTAATTGAGCATAACAGATTGAAATGGGGTTCGAGAGCTTTGGGGGGTTTTCTCTACACTGGTTGTAATGGTGATCCTAGAGATATTTGGCTGTTGAAGGTATTTTATAGGTTAAAGAAAGAACAACTGTAAATAACCAGTGCCTGCTTGCTTAATACTAGGTGTAGAAGGGCACTTTTCTCCATTCCACTGGTTCTCATGTGTTTGCATACATGTAAGAATCATTTGAGGTGGTTAGCCAAAATGCAGATTATCCAGGCCTCAGTCTCAGACATTCTGGGTCTGTGGCAAAATCTTCATTTTAACCAAACTTGTAGGATGGCCCCTCCAGTTCTGCTGAACTTATTCTCTTGATGATTTCCAATAATGGGACTAACACTAGCATCCTCTCCTGATTGCCTTGACTTGTTTTGCGGCTTCTATTACTCTTAGCCATGCCTTCTCCTGATCAATCTTATCATTCTTCTTTGCTAGATCCTTAAATAAAAACATTTCCCAAATACCATTCTTGTCTCTTACTTACAACATCAAAGGAGTTGCCCACAAAAAATCCCTTAGAGCTTTTTATGTTTGCTACTTTTCTAATTAAGTCCTTCTAAATTTCACCAATTTCACTGAAAATAGTTGACTATTCTTTCTCTTCTAGAAGCTCCTAAAAAAGTCACCTGAATGATCTGTTCAGGGGCTTCCCTGACTAGGTCACCTGTCTGGTCAATGTCACACAGAGCCTACAGTGGCTCCCAGAGGTGTCGCATTTCTGTTGCTCACGCCATCCACTAAAATCACCACACAGCTCTCTCCCAAATACTACTTATGCTGGTTCTGTCATTCTTCAAGGTCCAATGAGTCACTAGACTGAACACAAGGTAGGTATTAGAAGACATTAATCAGGACATGTACTCAACTAGTATGTGTTACTTGTTATTTAAGAGCACAGTATCCGGTGACTCTCATGGATTTTCATTTAAATACCATTAATGCATTAATCAAGAGGTTTGAATGTCTTCCGGAAGCAGTTTCAAAACAATGACGATGACAACAATAATATTCATTAATATAGCAACCACACACACAACACCTATCATGTATTTCAAATACATTATTTGTGCATGTTCATAACCATTTGGCAAGCTCAGAATAACCCTAAAGGAATGGGTGAGTACCAACTTTATGCTAACATTTATTATAAGCTGATTTAGAATATTTACAATGTACAAGCATATTAAAATGAATAAGTTGACTGCTGAACATCTGAATATATTTATTATATGACAGGTTTCTAATTTACTTTCTTAATAGCTTACTTTCCTAAGGATCTGCCTGATGAACTTTCTGATTACAGCACATTTGGCACTCTATCTGTTGATGCCCCATCTAGACTCAATCAACCAGACTGAGATAGTCAGGGAAAATATACATCTGTACTGAAAATGTACAAATTTTTCTCTTATCATTACTCCCTAAAGAAAACAGCTACAACTATTTACATAGTATTTATATTGGGTGTTAGACATAATCTATAGATGATTAAATACAAAGGAGGATATAAACAGGTTATATGCCATTTTATAGAAGTGACTTCAGAGTGTGGATTTTTTTTTTTTGTACCAGGGATCGAACTCGGGTCCTTACTCTTGCAAAGCAGGTGGCGGAACCACTGAGCTAAATCTCCCGCTGATGTGTGGATTTTTTTATCTTGGTGATAGGTGGTCTTGGAACCACTTTCCCACAAATACCAAGAGAGGACTGTTCTTGAGTTTTTACTTGTAGATTCTAGCAGTGGTGGGGAACCTATGGCACGCATGCCACAGATGAGTGTTTGTTATCACTGAAAGCTCTAAAAGGTTCGCAGTCACTGGTCTAGAGCTTCCTAATAAAAGGGCTCCATCTAGTGGAATAATTTACCACATAACAGGACAGTGCAGCAAAGTTAAACCCCTTACAGTAAGGCCTAACAGCAATGACAATCTCAGAAGAATGAAGTTTGCTCTGATATACAAGGGCCTCGTTTTCATCATGCCTTGATAAAAAGAAAGAGGATGAAAATGCTGTGGACAGAGGTAAGGACGGGGATGAAGGTGTTTTAGGATTGATTATAGAAATGCAAGGTAATCACCATTGTCCTAGTGATACTATCGTGATTCTACTCTGTGGAATTAAACAAACAAACAAACAAACAAACAAAATCAGAACAACCACTGACAACAATAAACCAAAATTTAAAGGACCTCATCAGGCTTTGAACTAAGCTAAAAAAGAGTTTGAAGGTCACTGTTACCCCTAATAACTAGCATATGTCCAGTATTACTTAAGAAATGCTTACTAGGAAAGTGTAAATATTTTTATAAGGTTGATAGAAATTTGTTGGATGAATAATTTCAGAAGGAATATGCAGCAAAAACTCAATTATCCATGATTTCTTTATTTCCTAGTCTTAATTATCCAGACATAGGAAACAAGTACAGCCAAAGGAAAAATCAAGGTTTGTATTCCCAGTTCTTTCACTTATATGCTCCTTCAACAAGCATCTATTTTATTTTTATTTTTTTGGTACTAGGGATCGAACTTGGGTCCTTGCGCTTGCGCAGCAGGCGGCAAAACCACTGAGCTAAATTCCCGGCCCCAAGCATCTATTGAGTGCCTTCTCTAAAAGAAAATATTAAAAAAGTATCACCCTTATGACATCCCATTATTCAAACTAAAAACAAAAGCCCACTGTAGATTAGAAGAATCAATTAGAAAGGAAGAAGAGCGCAGTAAGATGTAGCAACTCATATCCTTTTAAGGATGAATGTAAAGTCTGAAACCCTGAGTGAAGTTCTGTACTCAAAAACAGGAACCTGGGTCAATTAGCTCTATCATACCTCAGAGGTCCTTCAGAATAACCACATTTTTCAATGGATGTCCATGAAAATTCTTCCAGAGAAACTTAATGTAACTTTTAGAAGTCAAGAATATTCTTTTGATAATTGTTCCCAAACAATGACCATCATTAAAGATGTACAAAGAGTTATGGCAACTTCTGTCTTTTTAAAAATCTGTTTAGAATTGTCCTTTTGCAAAAGATTTTAGCAAAGCAGGATCACTGTAACAATCTGAGGTGCTAAATGCTGTTACAGATATGACCATCTGCAAAGCTGAGGGCACAGCTGTCACAAATATTGTTATTTCAACACAAGACACTGTCACCATTGTTATTTTTTTTTAATACTTCTGAAGCTTTTGAGGACTTACCGCCCAGAAGAAACTGGCTTAAGTGAACCAACATTTTCAAATAGTTGGGCCTTTGCTGCCACTCTGAAAAATAATTTTAAAAGATATGTTTCATGAAGTCAATCAGAAAATCATTCTGTTCAATGTGAAATTCAAGATTATCATTTCAACAAAACAAAAAGATTAGTTAAAGGGTCACACCAAAATTGGAGCCAAATTTTAATTGTTTCAAGCTTTAATGTGAGGAGGTTTTTAACTCTAGCCTCTAGCTCAATGGTTATTAGACTGTAATCACCTTAGAGCTACCTCTTGTGGGAACTGTTAACTATCCTCATCCTTTTTACTTCAGAAAATTGAGGGAACAGTAAAAAGAACATTTTCTACCCACTCTGCTCCCAGCAGGCAGCATGTTATTGACTCCTGTGGATCCACAAGGCAAGAATCAAGGAATAAAATCAACATGACACAAGAGGAACCACTGTTCATTCCAATGGCTTAAAAACCCCTAATATTAGCATGATTTCACATGGTTTTTGTTTGTTTGTTTTTTGGGGTTTTTTTGGTACTGGAGATCGAACTCAGGACCTTGCACTTGCAAAGGAGGCAGCTGAACAACTGAGCTAAATCCCCGGCCTGATTTCACGTGGTTTTTAAATGTGAACATATTTTCTGTAACACGAAAAGTATAAACCCTAAAAATATGTCCAATAAATTAACTTCTGGATTCAATTTTTATTTAAAATCATGGAGTACATGTGTGGGGTGAGGAAATGTTTCATTGGAAAAGGTAAGGCTATTGAATAGAATATGATAACCACAAAGGATAGGCACCTTCAGTGATTAGACGGATTTCAATGTTTACCAGAAGAGAAAATCAAGTTGAATGCCATTCAACTTAAACTCAACTTTAAAATAACCTGTTATTCTTTAATTCACAAACTCTTCTCACAGGGACAAGCCACTTGATAATGATAATATCAAATTATATTTTATACCTAATATAGAACATACTCCCCCATTTTAATTTCTACTTTAACTGTCAGTACAACCACAAGATAGAAGCTCTTCTCTGTCCACCACAAATGGAGTTTATATTGTCACATCTTCCCTAACATACCGGCTTAAAATTTAATTTCCTGTAATGGCTAAAACTATGCCTCCTGGGGAGTAGATAGTTTATAAATATATCTATCTATACCACTGTAACTGGTTTTCTGACCTAGAGAGATAATGGATGTTGAACTCTATAACTAAAAGGGTTTTTTTTATAGAAGAGGATGGATAAATGTATTTAAGACTTTGTTCCTATGAAAATAGGCTTAGTAAAATGTTGTACCTGACTTTTCATAAATAATAAAAATGTCAGGAACACTACTGTATTAAAAATGGGTATGACATACAGGACTGAAATTAGAGAACCCTGGGTTGGAATTCCAGCTCTGCCACTGAGAGTGTGTGGATTAATAGGTGAGAGTACGTGAATTAATTTGTTAGCTTTTTTTAAAGATCACTTATCAGAAAAGGGATTTAAATTCTCACTTATGCAGAAAGGGATTTAAATTCTCTATTTCAGGATACTGTGGACCTTTGAAGGGATAATATATGTAAAGACACCCGATGATAGCTCATATAGCATTAGGAAATGTTTGGCAATTGTCAGGAACACAACCTGAAAGGGAGAGAAACGTTTCCTTTCCGTATTTGCCTGACTTATTTATCCTGGTTCCTATTTGTTCCTCTTTATGTCTTTCTGATCATGTCTATGTGCCCATGACCTATCAGTCTTTAAACCTGCGGTCATTTCTTTGATCAGAAGTACTCTTTCTTCTTTGCTTTTCATGTTCCTTGTACTCTATGAGCTTATTTAAATCATGGAACACTAAGGGAGGGCAGAAACAGGATAGAGAAAAGAAAAAAAAACACCTCTCATGGGCTGGGGATTTAGCTCAGGGGTTCCACCGCCTGCCTCTCAAGTGCAAGATCCTGAGTTCGATCCCCAGTTCCAAAAATGGAGAGCAGCTGTATTGATAACAGAGAGGAGGGAACTGAGAAATGGAAGTGTAGCTTCTACAGGAAAGCCTCTAGTTCCCAAGCCTGCAGCTACTGTATTACACATCTGTTCTCTTGGCCATCGTTCTGTTCTAGGGAAAGTGCTTGAAGTACTGCCTGATGAGATTGTTTACATATCATAAGCCTACAATAACTTACATATCTTTTCTAGAAGAGGAAAGAGTCCTACAGAAGTTGACTTTACCCACTCTACAGAGGAAGCATTTAAGTATGAAATTCCCGAGGTGCTGTTCAACACTCAACTCCTGTGCATCCCTGGGAGACACAACAGATACAAACTCATTTTTACTTACACTGAACCAGGTCGCTGATAGCCATTGCTTGAGGCAATGTCCAGCCTTAACCTCCTACACATTTTTGGAGGAAGTTCTGGGTTTGGTGTGGCTTTGGATGTCTCCTTGGAACCTACAGAAGTTAAGCTTTGAATAGATCCACTATAGCTCTTGTTTCCTAAAAAGCAAGCCCAAGAAAATAGATAAGGTGCTATTAGATAAAATAATAGCAGTAACACAGTACATGTGCCTAACAAAAGGAGTATTTTTCTCTGAGACTAAATGGGAAGGTACAGAATGTTCTTTGGGCACAGCAGCCCTCACTCAGGGAGATAAAAATCTGCAGTAATTACAAAGACATCACCTTACAGAGATGGAAAGATTTAGGAAATGTCATGGTGCACAAAAATTTTAAAATTCAAGCTCAGGAACAAAGTAGATAAGCATCCTTAGTTTCTCCCATTAACTTTATCCCTGCCTAATCATGCTGAAAAATTCAGCAAATGACATTAAGACAATGACATCTTCTATAAGCTTCATTCTGGTTTACCTTCAGATGCAGAGATGGATTTGAGGGAGGAAGCAGAGGTTCTTTTCAGTCCTGAAAGCCCATAGGGCCCTTTCTTGACCAGATCTATAGGAGGGGAAACATCCCCTGGGCTGGTGACTGAGGCAACACTCTGGCAATCAGACTCTGCATCTGTTTTGGTTGCATCTTCTCGAGAACTTGATTCAGGACTAGTTGTCCAGAGACCAAGGCTTTTCTGTCCATTAGAAGATGATGGGGTTGCAATCCAAGGAATCCCTCCAGATTTCTCCCTGGGCTGGCAGGAAGCTGACTTTGTAGTGCTATTTTGTTCAGAGGAGTGAGAGGAGAGTGACTCAATACTACCCATGGGAGTGCTGTCTGGGCTGCTGCTATAGGAGTCACCTGAGGAGAAACAAAAGGGAGAGAGAAAAAAGCAACAGTAGCTATCTGTTGGTAACAGTATCACACACACCCCTTTTCTCAGCTCTCTATGTGCTCCCTGGCCACTTGAGCACACTTACAAGGTGGTGGGGTGGTGGGTGGTCTTTACCTGCTGTGGAGAGCTGTCCTCAGAGCTCAAGAAGGGCTTTAAACTATGCATTTCCACTTGGTGAATGCTATTTCAATACTATTCTAGCAGGGTGTTACACACGCCTATGAATTAACTGTCCTTATGTAACAATTTTACTCCTTGAAGCACTGGTGGGCTGATTTGAGTTCAGACAAAACCTGTCTCGTGAAACAAGAATCAAAAGAGAAAAAAGATTCCCTCATGATGTTACAAGAAATCAGTGGAAGAGGGTATATTAAAACCTGTTTTTGCTTTGTTTTACTTTTCTGATCATAGCTAATTTTGAGTTATAATGTACTTAAGTCCTTCTTCATTCAAACGCACCATCAAATGTTAGCCACAAATTATAAGCTGTCCACAATTTTAAAGACAGTTTTTTCTTTTCCTGCTAAGAGTATGGTACCTAAGAAATTGGCTGCTTTTATTAGGTTTACTTTTTAATGTTCCTCAAAGAAAAATGTAAAGGAAACAATCACAGAAACCATATTAAAGCATTCAGACATACCTGAATTAAAAATTACTAGATGGTTTTATAGTCAATGTTGTTGTATTAATGTTGTGTTGTATTAAATGTTTTGTATTAAATGTAAAAGAATTGAGTGTATACAATGAGAATGACCACAGTTTAATGTATGCTATGGGCCCAAGCTACACCAGGCTGGGGCTTGGCTAAGGATAAGTGGCTAATGATACTATATGGTATTGATTTTCTTTTTTATTTCTTTTCTCTCTTTCAGACACTTTGACATCAAGAGCTGATGCTTTAAAAACATAAAGTGAAAGAAAGAGACTATTTCAGTCTGACTTATCTCTTGTTTTCTCATCTACCACTTTGACAACAGGATAAAACCTGCTACTAAGTAGCACCCAATGTACTTAATCATAGCTTCAGAAGAAAGAGTAATGAATAAACATGTATTTCTTTGTGGCAATAATGAATTTGCTTGCCCAGGGAACCTCACAACTATACTGAAACAATACATCAATTTTGGGAGAAGGGTCCTGGGGAAATAGCATCAGTGAGAACATTTTCTATTTCTACCTAATTACTAATGACATGAGGTCAGGCTCAATTGAAGAATGAAGAAAGCATCTCCCTAAGACCAGGCACACTTACTATCCGGCTCTGCCAGGCATGGAGTGTACCGCCCTCTGGGTTTCCGGGAGCCTGTTGAGAGGCAGATTGCTCGGGTCCTTCGGGATCCAGATCGAGACTGAGGTTGAGGGAGGGGAATGTTTGGGTCTGGTGCAGTATGAAAAATCTACATTGAAGAAAAATAGACCAAGATCAATAAAAGGGTGAAATTGTCATATGCGTCATAAAATGTTTTCAGAGTTCTTAAAATATTTTAGAACTGCAAGGGATGCTTGATACAAACAAATAGAAGTCCTGCAGCCATTATAACTTTCTTTTCCGTTTACTGGGTAATGTCTTATCATAAGCTTTTCTTTATTTTCTCTCATCCCCATAGATGAAATCCAGAAGATCTTCCAGTAACTTCAAGAAACCTTTCACATAAGCACAAATGTCTATGCCAAGATACACTGACTTTTTTTATTGCAATATTCTCATTCTGCTTTTATCTTGAAAGAACATAAGTATATCTGTATCATTTCTCTAGTGACACGGTTCCATGTTTCCAGGAGAAGGTACAATAATAATGTTGGCTCTGAACTGTCATGAAATGTGACCAGCTGCAGGCAGAGGAATGAGAACAACCACTGGATGCAGCCAGGTGACTGTGAGGAAGCTTGCAACATTTGTCATGAAAGACATCTTCTGTGGGCACAAGGAAGGGACTCTGGGAAGGCCAGAGGTATAGTCATTCTCTCACAAAGAGTAAATCACACATAAGTGGGATTTTGTATAGTTAGGTCCCAAATGGCTGAATTTATAATCAAAATAATGTGGCTTTCAATTAATTTCCCATTTCCATAGTTACTCCAAGGTCTCACTCTTTTAAGGAAAACTTCCTTAGGGGTTAGAGAGGACTTCAAGACTCTGATCTCTTAATTTTTTTCATTAATTAGAAATATTAGTTTTACTATATAAATCAAGTGTAATTCCAGAGGAATACAGAGAGGATAAAAAAGAGTTAACCATAAAGTGATTTTAAAGTGCTTTCTGAATGAGTAATAACTGTACAAATGCTAAAGAAAATAAATGATATAAAAAGTAAATGATATAGAAGGAAAGGAAACAAGCTATCTGAAGAATTTTGAGAAGCACTTAACTAAATTGTAACAAAAATATATCAGTCTTCAGGAAGAAGTAATTTTTACAAAACTGATAGACATTTTATAGGAATCTGATATAACAATGTAAAGCTCACTAACAATAAATGTAAAATTCCTTTTTAAAAGGCAAGATACAAAATGTGATGTTTGCACATGAAAATCCAGCCTACCTTTTCATAATGCTCTATGAGAATTTCAACCACTATATTCTGAAATTTAATATTCATCATGGCAGCCACAGTTTCTTCCTGTGCTCGCATCAGAGTTGGGCCAAATATGACACCAAGATTTGAGACAGTCATGAGGTTTTGTTGGCTGTGCAGTGATACTCTGTAAATAAAGAACAAAAAAATTTCTTAAATTAAATATTTAATAATTATGAAATATGCTTTTATATCAAACTTATACCATAAAAATGTAAAATACATATGTCACTATTGGCTAATTTTCTCAATCAGTTTCAGTTATTCCTGTTGTCATGAGGGGTAAAAGTCCAAAAGATGTAACATGTTCTTTGAAAAAAAAATAATAAATTGCTATAAAATATACTCAGTTCATTATGTTATAGAGCACTATCTAATTGTATCCTTTTACTCCTTATTTATCCTCCCACTATCCCCTCTTCCACCCTAGGTTCCTAACACAAAGAAATGAAAAAGGTTTAAGGAGGTGGAAATGCTAGTTACAAGACATGCACCTAACCACAGGGCACTCAAATATATGAAGCAAAATCATGTGCTTCTGAGAAGGCTTTCCAAACACGGAACCAAGAATTTTGTTTAGTTTATGCTTGGACTGAGTTAAAGATCTTTGGTCAACTAAATATTATGGAATTTAAAACATCTGAAGCATAATTATAAGTTTAACATCATTAGAAAACATTCATGTATAAAATGTGAAGTTTTCATTCAGGAGAAAACTACTTTCAGTTTTACTTGGAATTAGAAAGAAATTCCCTAACAATTTTTTTAGAAAACATCAGAGTGTTAGTTTGACCTAGGGGAACTTGTTGCCTTTAGCAGTATATTATTCTAGTCTTCAAACTCACTGCTTAGAACACACCAAAAAGAACTGAGGAAAAACTACATGCTCCACATATTTTTAAGTTGATATGGAAGCATTTTGTTTTTAGTTTAACAGGAAAGGATATACTTATTTGCACACTGAAAACACAGGTACACACAAATATATACAGATATACTCTAAAAATAGATCATTTTTAAAGTTCTCGCAATAAATTGATTATAATAGCAATGATAGTTTCAACATATACTTTAAAAAGATATGAACAAGTTTTAACTTAACAGATAAATATATAGTTAAATGAATAAGTTAAGAGAATTACTTGACCAGATGCTTTATTAAGATGTCCAGCATCTCTCTGTTTTTCTCTGGCAATTTGTGCACCAATGCATGTACAGCCTCCACCCTGTAGTTCTGATCATCTGATTCTATTATGTAAAAAAAGTTGTAAATGCTCAAGTTTTAACTGTATTCAAATGAGTATGTAAGTATTAGTACATATAAACATCTTACCCACTTCTATCTTTCATGCCTTACAAGCACTGCTTCATGTAACACAATTATCATAATCCCTAAGGCATAGAGAGCTTAAGTAACCTGTCCATACACATGAAGTTAGGAAGTAGAAAAGCCAAACACAGGCTGGGGATTTAGCTCAGTGGCACCACACTATGCATGCCTGGCAAGCACAAGGTCCTAAGTTCGAATCCTGATACCAAAATAAAAA